TGTGATACAAATTCTATTCTGCTCATGATTTGTACTTTATATTCTGTTGCATTCACATACACTATTAATTTTTTCCTTTAGCTACACATTCTTTGGCTGTCCCTGGTTGTTCATCTTTCTGCCCTGTAGTTTCTAGGGTAAATATGTCCTGGCTAGAATGACTGGATTTGGAATCATTTAATTTAATTTAATTAATTTAATTTCAGGAAGCAATGCTGGTTTATTTTCAGCCACATAAACAAAAGTGTTTTGGAGTCTCATTTTTTTTTTTGTGGTATACTTTAATATATTTAAATAAATATCATTTACTAATTGTTGTTATATTTTAATGTATTATTACGGTAAATTTTATGGGATTTATTTCACATCAACAGCCAATTTTTTTTTCATTTGACAATATTCTTTTTTTCCTTATATTTAAAATAGATTTATCTTGATGTTTTTTAAAGAGCATGAAGCATTTCTGAGACTCCAAAGTTAGGACCAATGATTTTGACTGCAATGCTATCGACAAAGATGATCAACGATCAAATTAACATTAAGATCCTATTGTTTTGGCCCTCCCCGGTGGTGCAGCGGGTTAAAGCACAGCACTAAGACGCTAAAGCCACTTCAGCATGAGTTCAATTCCCGCCTGCCCCGGAGGTGACCACATGGCGCGGCAGACCTCTCCTGACCGGCCCGCTGCGCCCTTCAGCAGTGTACTTTGTCAATCTGCCTGTTCTGCTCCCCACTCTGTTTCTGGTGAATCCTCTCATCCTCCACATCTCTGGCCTGTACCCCAGTTCTGTATGAATAAATAAATCTTAAAAAAAATCCTATTGTTTTAAGAGAGGGATTGCCTTTTCTTGATGTATTTACTCTTTCCCCTACCATTTGGAAGAAATGCAAATTTGTTTCTAAGTATGGAAGATCTATATTTTCCTTTTAGGCTGTTTTGACAAGATGGAGATAATGTAGAGGACAATGAAGGCACATTCCTGTGTGTATGTGTAAAGGGCAGGAAGACTGTCTCCCAGGCACCAGTGGCAGCAGGAGCTGAACTCTCAACTGTCAGAACTTTCAGAGGCAAGCTGGGAAGGTTTTCTTCTCATTCCAGGGGAAGACCAGGGATCACAATCTGGGATTAGAGCTGTTTGCATTAAGCCACAACGTTCAGCATATTAACCCTAAAAGATCAATTTTCTAGTCAAAAGTGGCCTCCCCGCCTAAGACTGGTGAGTAACTGAATCCTTTGTTTCTGTTTACTGGCCCTTTAAGCTGGGAGCAGCTGTGCAACAGTTACAGTAACTGAATTTGGGTGGTCTCAAACCTCCCAGGTGGCCCACCTGCCCCTCCTCACATTCCAGGTTTTTGACCTCAAAACTGTGGGGCAGGTAGTAAGAGCTTAAAACCAGTGTCCTGTATCCTAAGTGGTCAGAGAAGTAATACATTGAGATGGTAGATTCATAGGTGATTTACCTATTGCTTCAAAACATTCTAGTAGCTTGGACTCCTGCAGACTGTGTGGTATATGGGTATAAAAATCAGCAGACACAACATTTAGTAATATCTGTTTCTAGGATCTTTTTTTTTTTTTTAAGAAAAGCTGTTTTAGGTAAAACAAGCAAAAATCACCTTCAACCACTACCTCCAGGCCTATTCTGCCTTTCTTGTTTCCACCTTGGGCAATTACTGGAGGTATGCTATGAATTTTAGTTCCTTTGTAATGTCTAGAACAACATTTATGGCTATATATCCAGAATCAAGACATAATTTCATAGCTTTGGTTTTTAAAAACTTACAGAAATGATTGAATAGTGCATACGTAACTGTCACTTTCATAACTTTCATATCACTTTTTGCTCTTTTTTTTTTTTTTACTTTTCACTCTTTTAACTTCACCATTTATCTTCTGTTTATCGGTGTAATCTCTCTTTTTAATGTCTCTACAATATTTCATTATATGATGTAGGTGGGTTATTTAAACATTCTTCTGTTGATAGGTATCTAGGTTTACCCATTTTTTTCATTAGTACAAACAGTACTAAAATGCCTATCTTTGTTCCTATCTCTTTATATTATGTATGAGCATTCAAAAGCTGTAATTAAAAAGGGAAGTTGTGCTTGTAGGACACGAGCTACCTACATTTGCTCTCCAAATGGGTATTTTAATTTATACTCCCAGTTGTAATATACTGATTTCTAATTCCCCACATCCTTGCCAAACCTTGCCATGACCACACCCTTTTGTTTTTAACTGGAGCAATAACTGAATTTGAGCATCCTTTCATATGATTATGGGTCCTTTGGTTTTCTTTCCTTCTCTAGTCACTTATCTTTTACTCATGTTTCTATATATTATTATATTGTAGGGACTATTTCAAATCATTTGGATAGAAAAACTTTGTCAGTTGTATACATAAAATAATTGCTAGAGATTTTTAAAATAAATTAATTTTACTATTCTAATGCATAAAATTTATTGAGTAGGTCTTAGCCTTCAGAGTGTTCACTGTAATTCCCTAGAAAGGAGCTCCACAGATGTAGTGGTAAGATATGGGGAATGGACCCTGTTCTATAATCCTATGATAAGTTTTGGTTTTTCACGCATTTTTCCCCCATGTTTAATTATACTGAAAAAACTGCCAATACTGTGCTTTCTAGGTGAGAAAGAACAAACTTGCATCACTGTTAATCTTAGAAAGCGCTCATATGAAACACCTTTTAAATTACATATGGCATTTGCAACAGGTTTTTCATAGATATCATTTGTTTTATAATGCCTCTTTCTATTTTTTAAAGATTTCTTTTATGTATACAGAATTGGGGTACAGGCCAGAGGTATGGGGGTGTGGAGAGGATTCACCAGAGGCAGAGTGGGGGGCAGAATAGGCAGGTTAATGAAGTACACTGCTGAGGGGAGCAGCGGGCGGGCCAGGAGAGGTCTGCCGCACCATGTGTCACTTGGGGGTGGGGATCGAACTCATGCTGAAGTGGCTTTAGCGTCTTAGTGCTGTGCTTTAACCCGCTGCACCACCAGGGAGGGCCATATATTTAATTTTTTACAGGAAAGACATTTCCATGTGCTTTATAACTTAATTCTTTGGATGTGCAAACATGAATTTCCTTTGTTTTTTTCTTCCTCATATTCCCATATTTTGGGTAAGGGCTCATTACTTTTGAGTGAGTGAGTCTCATGCTGACTCACTTTTTACTACTGTGGAGTTTAAAGTAGCTAATCTAACAGACCAGTTATTTGTTGAAGAGATGTATTGGTGTGGAGTGCTGCTTACAACTTAGTTTTACTTTGGTCAGGGTTCTCTATTCTGGTAGGAGAGTTATTGATCCTCAGTGGAGACACTCCCAGATGGTTCCTCCTTTTAGATGTTTCTTCCTCTTCCCCTCTCTCCTCCAGCCTCTTTTCTCCTCTGTCTAAGCCAAACCACTGGATCCTATCACACTGCAAACCCCCATCCCCCTCCCAGAGCCTTTGCACCCCTCTAGAGCCTCCTGAACTGGGGACAACATGGATGAACGGCCTGATCCTCCATGCAAGGTTGGCAGGGCGAATCTGGCCAGGGCCATCATCTGGCGCGGGTTAAACATCTCATACCGTCCGACAAAGTCTGGGTAGGAGGGGGTGCCCCTGAAAAGTCAGGGACCCTGAAGATGGCTCCTGCTGGATTGCTTTGTTTTGTATTGTCCACTCTTGTATTTGCAACCATTTTTGCATTTGGATGCATTTGATAAAGTAAAAGTTGATTTTACATTTGGGTGTTCTAATAAAAGCAATTGGCTATTACTGTAAAGTTAATACAGCAAAATAAGACAGTGCTAAAAACATGTTGTGATTAACATGTTCCTGTCCAAACCAATAATTCAGACTCCGGCATTCCACTATCTTCCAGATGTACACACTAAATTAAGCTCCTGACGAATAAACTTTGGGAACCAAAAAGCATAAGCCTTTGTTGTTCGGCCTTCAACTCTCCTAGTTCTCTTAATGATAGAACTGAGTACAGTAAACTTTTCCATTCCTTACCCTGGCCTTGTTTTAAACTTTTTTTTTTTTAGGATGCTTTAATAAAAATGAGGATCCTTAGTAATTAACAATAAAAGAAGCTTTCCTTTTGTTTTGCTAACTTTTTATTATAATATATATATAAATGTTAGTTATAACTATATGAATTAATCTGCCTGCTTTATCATTAGTAAATCGCTTGCCCAGCTGCAAGATATAATAATAGTAATAACACTTTGTTTGTTAGCAGTGTTTTCCTTAAAAAATGGTAAGTGTTGGCCCTCCCTGGTGGTGCAGCGGGTTAAAGCACAGCACTGAGAAGCTGAAGCCACTTCCGCATGAGTTCGATTCCCGCCTGCCCCGGAGGTGACCACATGGCGTGGCAGACCTCTCCTGACCCGCCCGCTGCTCCCCTCAGCAGTGTACTTCTTGATCTGCCTGTTCTGTTCCCCACTCTGTCTCCGGTGAAGTCTCTCGCCGCCCCTGAGCCTCTGGCCTGTACCCCAGTTCTGTATGAATAAAAATAATAATAAAAAAAAGTGTTATAGACTTGACTAAAGATCAAAAGACTTCAAACTGTTTTTAGGAATATATGATAGTTTTTTTTTTTTAACTCAATGCATATGCTGATGTAATCCCACTGCTTGAAAACATAAAAATAAAAAAGACCAGCTGAGACTGGCAGCAGACAACACTTGTACCTGAACGAGTGTTGGTGTCCCTCATTCACCTTCACCGATGCCCTCATTTCCTACAGGAACCTCTGTCACCACAATTGTTTGCGCTGGTCTCTGGCAATGATCCTTGTGGCAAAGGGATGAGTAGATGAGGACCTGTTCCTTGGTGATTTGAGAGATACTCCATGCCCCCACACCAGCAGTGTACCTGCTGCCTTCCCTAAAGTCTGACTTTGTTTGCATTTCTGTTTAATAGTCCTGTGCCTTATTGCTGCAGGAAATGTTAATTTCCCTTTGAGCTGTCGGAAGGTGGAGGAAAGATGGGCTGGCCCAAATCTTCAAATGTGTCTAAAGTCCGCAGAATTTACCTCAACAAACCTCACAGGAACATTTTTTGCAAAAATGTCATCAGGTGAGTGCTGTATGTAGCTGGGAGGAGGAGGAGGAAGAAGATGTGGCGTGGCCCCACAAAAACCCAATACTTTGTGGGGACCAATTCACGTGAATCTATGCTTCAAGCTATAACAATTTTCCCAAACTTTGAGCAACATTAAATTACTTTATTCCCTACAGAGAATAGGTTTTGTTGTCATCTCACCTCTATGCTCTCTCTCCGATAAGCACCTGCTCTCACTTTTCCCTGTTAATCAGCAGTATGATGCAGGTCAGTTAAGAGCTCTCTTTAGCAGTGTGTGTGTGTGTGTGTGTGTGTGTGTGTGTGCACGCACGCGTGCGAGTGTGTAACTGCTTTCCAAGGAACCTTGCTTGCATCTTCATCCTATACTAGGATATTCAAATTTAGGTTGCTTAAGAATCCTAGTTCCTGGGTAATTCACTAAGTTGAGAATTTACTGCTGAGATAAAAAGGAATCTTATCCAAATATATGTGTACACACACATAAGCACATGTTAATTATATATACTATATATAATTTACACACACACACACACATATATAGGAGGCCCTTATTATCCTTGAACTACAAAGCAGGCATTATTGGATTCTATTGTATTATGTCTATTTCTTTTTTTTTAAATTGTATTACGTCTATCTCTCTTTCTTTTTAATTGTATTATGTCTATTTCTATGTGGAATAAGTCTTGTTTATCTTCTAACATATCTAACTTGTCATATTTGTTGATTGTTGTATTGTTTCATCGGGATGTAGGTCCCATAAATACAGTGATCTTTGCGTTATTTTTCCTGATGTTTTGCAAGTACTTAAAATATTCAATTATCAGTGCAATCAAGGATGGTGCTTTTTCCACTTTCCCCTTTTAATATGTTTAGAGAACTTGCTGTTCTCTGGCTTTCCATTCCATGTTCACAGTACTTAAGACACATATTCATAGGACTTAGTTCTTAAAATGAGGAAAAATATTCTTCGTTTATTTGGAAATTATTTCCAGAAACCCATGAATGTTTTCCAAAAGAGCAAAATATATGTTTAAAAGGGTCAGTGTTTTATAATGATATTTAAGTCACATCTGAGTTTTGCAGGAGTGTTTTTAGAGTTCTTAAGATTAACTCTCAATGATACTTTTCTTCTCCTCTACAGCACAACTAAGTACAGCATGTGGACATTTCTCCCTCGATTTTTGTATCTACAGTTTAGCAAAGCTGCCAATGCCTTCTTTTTGTTCATTGCTATATTGCAGGTAACATTTCTGAACATGTTATTAGAGTAAGATTTTTAATGAGTAAAAATATATAAAAAGTTCATTCAGTTCAAACAGAGTTTGATGTAGAGAATAAATTTAAGTGCTGTTAGATGAGAAAATTTCTTCTCATAATAGCTGTTCTTTGTGAAACAAAGAGCTTCCCTTTTGGCTCCGAAAAACATACTGATGACCAATGGATAAACTGTCCAAAGCTCATCCTGATTTAGCTCATTCATGAGATATTGTCACTTGCCACCTCTATGAGAGTAATTTTACTATATTTTGAAGTAAATGAAGAAAACACAAATGCTACTTTAAAATAGCATCCTTTGGACCCTCCCTGGTGGCACAGTGGTTTGGGGCACAGCATTAAGAAGCTAAAGCCACTTCAGCATGAGTTTGATCCCTGCCCCAGAGGTGACCCACATGACGTGGCAGACATCTCCTGACCCACCCACTGTTCCCCTCAACGGTGTACTTTGTAAGTCGGCCTGTTCTGCTCCCCACTCTCTCTGGTGAATCCTCTCGCCACCCCTGTACCTCTGGCCTGTACCCCAGTTCTGTATGCATAAATAAATACATCTTAAAAAAAAACAAACTTCCCTCACTTAAAAAAAAAAGCATCCTTTTTACTTATGTGGGAAGCATACTTAACATGTTTAGAGTTATGGTGTGAATGGCAGACACTTATATATAGAGCAAATCTCCAGAGCTTCATCTTGCAGAACTGTAACTTTATAGTCACTGTAATAATAACTCCACACTGCCTCTCACTCTAGCTCTTGACAAACACAATTTGTTCTTTAATTTTTAAGTTTGGCTATTGTGGATACCTCATAGAAGTGGAATCATGCAGTGTTTGTTCTTCTGTGGTTAGCTTTTTTTCCACTTCATAAAATAGTTTCAAGATTTTCCCATGTTGACGAATGTGACAGCATATCTTTATTTTAAAAGCTAAATAAACACCCACATGACATGCATGTGTGTGCATGTACTTGTATGTATGTATGACAATCACAATTATCCATTCAACCATCAAAGGACATTTAGTTTATTTTCATATCTTGGCAATTGTGAACATGCTGCTATGAACATAGATTTGCAGGTACTGTTCAAAATTTTGATATCCATCCTTCTGGATAAATACCTGGAAGTGAGATTACCAGACCGCATGTTCATTTTTACATTTTTTGAGGAACGTCCATTTTCTTAGCGGCTACACCATTCAGCATTCAAGTGTCCCCATTTCTTCCTACATTCATGCCAATATTTCTTATCTCCTCCCCTCTCCGTAATAGCCATCCTACAAGTGTGAGGCAATATCTGTTTTGATTTGCATTGCCCTGGTGGCTGGTGTGGGTGAGCACCTTTTCATGTACTTGTTAGTCATTTATATGCCCGATTCAGAGAAATTTCTGTTTAGGTCTTTTGCCCATTTTCAATTTGGGCTATATGTGTACTTTTGCTGTTGAGTTGTAGTTCCTTATATATTTTCATCAGATACACTAGGGCTCGAAAATGTTCCACAGGTTTCCTTTTCATTTTGTTGTTTCCTGTGCTGTTTATTTTTGTTCTCATTGCCTGTACCATTACAATTGCACACTATGTAATTAGAATTAAGACTTCAAGTATACATTTATTAAACATAGTGCCCACCCTTAAAGATTTGGGAGTCTTAACATAAAAAAATACATTATAAAGTATAAGGTGCTATAGAATTTATGGCCTACTTCGGGCTTGAGAGTGAGTAGTCCAGGAAAAAAGTACTAAAAACTGTGACAGTTGGTCCAAAAGATTAGAAGAGTAAGAGCTTAACTATAAGACTATGAAGAAAGAGAAATTTAAACCTTGTAGGTGTACAGGGAAAAGAATAAGCAAAGGCATAGAAACACTGGTTGCCTTTTAAGAGAACCAGAGCTTTGGAAAGAGATTGAATTTTCTCTGTGAACCCTTTAATATAAGTTGAACTGTGAAAACATCAGTACTATTTTTTTTTTGTAGGGTATGAAATGATTTGAAAGTAGTACAGCTTTTTGGAGCCCAAGTAGAATAGAAAAGAAGCCAAAACCATAAGCTGAACCAGGTGTGTTACTCTAGGAGCTTGGACTTTATCCTAGAGGAGTGAGAAGACAGTGGCAGTGAGCAACCAGGCCAATTAGTCTCAACTGGGGAAAGAGGGGGCTATGGATAAGAACAGTGTGTGGGAGCACACTGCCCGGACAGGGAGAAGGACATACAGAAACATTTCAAATGTAGATTCTATTCATTGCACAAGCTGTCCCAAATAGCTAAACAGTCCTAAATTCCCTATTTCTCTTCCTGTGTACATAGATTTCTATACAGGAAAATTTGTAGGAATTACTGGGAATTTTAAAACACATACAAATTTGTTACACTATTTTAATGAACACTAAGCAAGCAGGAAATACGAAGGCAGCAGAGAGCAGACACAGACTCAGGTCTGAAGTATGGGTCTAAGAACTTGTCTAAATCTAGAAAATTGAAGGCTCAATGGAGGACCTCACTCACCTTGCCTTCATCACAAAATACAGCCTCACTTTCAATTCCTTTAGCTTTCATGCTTTCAACAACTGGGGTTAACCCTAGAGTACTGTCCACTGATAATCTGTTCCTAGGCATCATTATTCTTCCAGGCCTCCAAAAAAATGTCTCCTCTAACTTCTTTTCAAAAAGAAGTTAGATTCAGTTGAAACTGTTAATCTTGGGAATTAACTCTTTTTTTTTAAGATTTATTTATTTATTCATACAGAATTGGGGTACAGGCCAGAGATGTGGAGGGTGAGAGGCTTCACCATAGACAGAGTGGGGAGCAGAACAGGCAGATCGACGAAGTACACTGCTGAGGGGAGCAGTGGGCTGGTCAGGAGAGGTCTGCCTTGCCATGTGGATCTCCTACTGGGCAGGCGGGAATCGAACTCATGCGGAATTGGCTTTAGCTTCTTAATGCTGTGCTTTAACCTGCTGCACCACCAGGGAGGGCTGGGAATTAACTCTTTTGAAAACATGCTGTTTTACTTAGGTGTTTAAATTTTGCATTATCCCCTTCAAAACAATACTGAAAGTACCCTCCAAGGAAAACAACATACTGGCTAAACTGTAATTAAGTACCTGCACTGGTGACTTTTCAATAATGTAATATCATGACACACTCAAGGGATGGTTTGGATATGACAGTCTCCCTCCCCTTTTCATGTAAAATCCTTATTGTTATTCTGTCCTGGGAAGTGCTACTAGTCCTATGACTTTCAGGAGAAGCAAAGTATCACCTAAAAGAGTAATTTTGATTGTTTTGCAGCAAATTCCAGATGTGTCTCCAACAGGAAGATATACAACGCTCTTGCCTTTGATGATTATTCTTTCAATATCAGCCATCAAAGAGATTATAGAAGATTATGTAAGTTTACTGTTAGTGAAATGTGCTCAAATTACTGGCTTGGATGTATGTTGTATTTGTTGTTGTTTTCTCCAGGTAGTTGGTTGAAACAGGTTTAATTTTTAGATCTGTAGTTGGTATAATGAGTAAGTTCAAGTTTTGAGGTGTCACATTTTAATGTACATATGTAATTTAAATATGAAGGGCTCTATTTAATAACATTCATGTCATATTTTTATATAATGTATTTATATATTTTTATTAGCCAAATATATATTGCTGGCAGGACTTAAAAGCTGTTATTAAGAACTTTACCATATAAGAACAATGGTAATTTCTTTGGGAATGTAGTCCAAGCAGAGATGAAAATGGCTAAAATGATGTGCATATAAACTATGCCTGGCTTAATTTCTCCCTTTACCTCATCGCAGGGACGATTTCACATGGGCCTGCTGATTTCAATAGTGAAGCAAAAAATGAGATTATTTTCTATCATTTTGTTTGTTCTGTACCAGCTCCTGAAGTTCATTCACCAAAATCGCTAGCTATTATTATTCACAAGCTTCTTCCTGACTCCTACCAGTTTCTAACCTTTTGATTGGCTTAGAATATGAAAGAAATTTTCAAACTTAATCAAAAGCTTTCAGATAAGTTGGTACAAAGTTCAAAATTGCTAATTATGTATTTTAACCAAATATAATCATTATAAGCAAAATATAATATGCTAATATTTCAAGTAACATTTTTCTATGTCACAGATAATATACACTATAGATGTGTATAAGTATGCTTCTCTGTGTGTATTTATTTATATGACATATATGTAAGTATGCTTATGTGTGTGTATTCATTTTAATTGACTCATACACAGGCTAGTCTTGAGAAGGCTGCATTCTCAGTAAGAGGCAGAGATGGCAGATCAAGTGAGGCAAACTGGCTCCAGAGGCCACAGGCTTACCTGCTTTCTATACTGCTTAATCTCAATAAATTCACCAATATTCACCACTTTTAAGGGCTAAACAAAATTGAAATCAGCTATAGCCAAAGAAGACTTTATAATTGTTGTCTTTATTTATAAACCTACTATGACTTGTATTATATCTTGAATTATTCATCTTGATGTAAGGACTTTTTTTCCTATCACAGAAACGACATATGGCAGACAAATTAGTTAACACAAAGAGAACAACAGGTAAGATATCAGATGGAACTTTTATCTCCCTTCTCTATGGAAATTATCCAAATTCACCAATGGATACATGCAATATATTTTATTATTTAAAAAGATATAGAAACAAAGAATAAAAACTAGAAGGAAAGTCAGTTTCCTATGTTAGAATCAATAATTAGAATAAACAAAGTGAAAAATTTAGGAAGGGTAGACTATTCAGGATATGAAGAATTCTCATGTTCATAAAAAAGATCTGGGTGTTAATATATACTCAGTCCTAGTTTTGATAAGTGTTATTTTAATCACTGAGTATTTACTACATAATTACCTATTTCTAATATAAAATATCATAAAATTTTATAATATATGATTTCTTCTCAGGTTACTAGCAGGTATTTATTTGTTTTTATAGTATTTAAAAATTGGTTTCCATTTCTTTATAATACTCTGTAAATTTTAGAAACACAACTTTACACCTCAATGTATGTATATATACCACACCAACATTTTAATGCCATCACCATCAAACCAGGTTTCCTACTGTTCTATCACGCCCTTCTTCCCACTGGTAAGTACCATATTTTTCTGGGAGACTGATAGTTGTTTTTTTGTTAGTTCTTTATCTCTGTTTATTTATATTCCTCTTGAGTGAAGTGATCTGATTTACGTCTTTCACTTTTTGACTTATTTTTACTTTTAGTAAATAAATTTTCACCTATGGTGTCACAAAAGGCAAGGTTTCATCATTTTAAATAGCCAAATAACATTTCATTGGTGTTTACATTGCAGCTTCTTTATAGTCATATGCCAATGGCGATTTAAGTTGCTCCATGTGAATATGAGTAATGCACATTGGGGTTCATGTAGCTTCTCAAATACATATTTGAATACATGTATTTTCATATTCTTCACATAAATACCTAGGAAAGGAACTGCTGGATCATATAGTTGATTTAATTTATGGTTTAAGACATCTTCATACTGTTTTCTATAGGGGCTAGACTAACCTAAATTCCTACCAGTAGAGCAGTGTATGGAAAAAGAGTGGAGAGTCCATTAGTCCGCACGAGCCTCTTCTCCACTGAGTTCTTTAGGATTCCTCTGGGATGAGAATACCTTAGTCCTGACTTAAATAATAATGGTGTATAAATGCAACAAGAAAATATAGTAACTGTAGACCTAATGATAAAAAAAACCCTAAACTGTGTGTTAAAAGATCTTAATAATGGCATTATTAAAAAAAGAAAAGTTACGGGCCCTTCCTAGTGGCACAGTGGTTTCGGACACAGCTCTGCAAGAAGGCCGGAGCGGCTTCAGTGCAAGTTGGATCCCCAGTCCCGGAGGTGATCCACATGGTGCAGCAGACCTCTCCTGACCCGCCTACTGCTCCCCTCAGCAGTGTCCTTCATGAGTCGGCCTGTTCTGCTCCCCACTGTCTCTGGTGAATCCTCTCACCGCCCCTGCATCTCTGGCCTGTACCCCAGTTCTGTATGCATAAATAAAAATTTTAAGAAAAAATGTACTACTTAAAAAAAAGTCACCTTTTTTTCCTGCAACCTCATCAACATTTGGATATGGAATCTAGTGGTCCAGATTCTTCTTCTTTTTTTGGGGGGGTGCATTTTGCTGTTCAGGTCTTCCAACACCATTTGTTGAAGAGACTTTCCTTTCTCCACTTTACTGTCTTTGACTCCTTTGTTATAAATACACACGAGGATTTATTTCTAGGCTCTCAATTCCATTTCATCAAACTGTGTTTTTCATAGAAACCCAGTTAGAATAATTCTGTTTCGTGGACCATTGCTTTATAGCAAAGTTTGAAGACAGAAGCATGGTAACCTCCATTTATTTTCTTTTTTTGTCTGGATTGTTTGGGCTCTTCAGGATCTTTTGTGACTGAATACAAATTTATTATTTTTCTATTTCCTTAAAAATACTATTGCAATTTTGATAGAGATTACATTGAACATTTCTAACTGCGTTAGGTAAAATGGACTTTTAAGAAATGTTTATTCTTCATTTTTGGTGGTCTTCAGGTCATTTTGATTTCTCTGTTGCTTTCTTCATTGACTCAAGAGTTATTCAGAAGCTTGTTGTTTAGTCTCCATGTTTGAGATTTATCCAGTTTTCTTTTTGTGGTTGACTTCTAGCTTCATATCATTGTGATTAAAGAAGATGCTTGATATGATTTCAACCTTCATACATTTATTGGGACTTGTAATTCCACATATGGTATCCTAGAAAATATTCTATGTGTACTTGAGAAGACTGTGTAATGGTTTATTTTAGGGGCTGTAATAGGATCTGATATTTCTCATAGTCTTCATTTTTCTAATCTTATTTCTCCTCCTCCATTTGAGTCATTATAAAAGTTTCATCTTCACTTTTACTGAGAGATCAGCTTCTTACTATGTTCTCATGGTCGTCTTCAATGCATTTAACATTCTCTTCATACTCAGCTTCACTGTTTTCAATATTTCTTTTTCTTCAGTCTCTTTGGTGAAGAACTTCTTTTGGTTCTACACCCCCCTTTTTATATTGTTAATGTTTTATTCTACAGTCGAATGTATTTCATATATCTTGTGGTTTTTCTACATGAGAATTATTTAAATTAACTGCATTTTAGAATCCCCATTTGTTTTTCCAGTAGTGGTGCTTTGGTTTTAGTTTTGGAATTCTTCCATATTTTAGAGCTGTGGATGGATGGAGAGAGCAATGGCAAGCTGGAGGCAGTTTCATCCAGTCGCTGTCTTCGGTTGGGAATGGCCAATTTGGGCATAAAGTCCTTGCTGTCCCATCTCCTCTGTGTCTACACCAGCTCCCCTTGTGAACACAATGCACAGGCTTCCAGGTCCTACCTCCAGACTGGACTTCTGTTTTTTGCAGCTGACCTTAGTTTAGCTCTAATCTCAGACATTTTTAACTCTCTGAGGACAATGGAGAGGGGGATTTGTTCTGTCACACAGGCACCTGAAAAACTCCCTGGGACTCAGTGTCTAGTTTCAGCACCCAACCTCAGCAGGTTGGTGGAAGTGAAAATCTTCACTTTTGTTTTTTAAGATTTATTTATGCATACAGAACTGGGGTACAGGCAAGAGGTGCAGGGACAGTGAGAGGATTCACCAGAGGCAGAATGGGGAGCAGAACAGGAATATCTATTGAAGTACACTGCTGAGGGGAGCAGCAGGCAGGTGAGGAGAGATCTGCCATGCCATGTGGTCACCTCCAGGATAGGCGGGGATCTAACTCGTTCTGAAGGGGCTTTAGCTTCTTAGTGCTGTGCTTTAACTGGCTGTACCACTAGGGAGGGCCCCAATCGTCACTTCTTTTATGGAGCTCATTGCAGTCCTGGAGACATGAGTGATCCCAATGTCTTAGCCCTCTGCTTTCTTGGTCCACTGACTGCATAGCCACAGCTATAACCACAGTTCCAATTCCCCTTTTCCAATTCTGACAATTCCATAAGCCTCTACAGTATGATAAGCTTGTATTGTATGACAAATTTTGTAATACCTGGCTTCTGGCTATGCCTTTGAAGAAAGATTTCTCTGTAGTTGTTTATTCTACCACGTCTGTGACTTCAATCTCTTAGCCAGTATTTTAGCGTGTACTGACAAACTGTTTCTCCTAGAACTGGTAGTGTCTTAATATACACAGTTTCTGTGTCTCTGTCTGTTCATCATTCTGTATCTTTCTATACATTTTTACATTTTGTCATGATGCATTTACTACATAATGCCTTTTTTGTTGTAGTGCATATAAAATCAATTTATATATCCTTCCATTTTTATAGAGGTTAACTTAACAAAGTCAAAGCTATAGAGAAAAACATTTAGTATTTGAAAAAATATTTTTAAAAGTTATTTTGAACCTTACCTAATGCAGTAGTAACAATTAATATATAGCTATTTCTATTCCAGTGTTAAGACAGCAGACATGGAAAGTGATAATGTGGAGAGAGGTAAGAATGTATTTTTTTTTAACTTTTAATATAGTAACAAGCACCTCCAACATCTAAAGTTACAGATTTTTATCTGTGAAACATGTCTTCAGGAGTTATCATCTCATTTTATAAATGAGGAAGTAGAGGCTCAAAGAGTTAAGTATCTTGTACAGAGTCACACAGACAGAAATTTTTGATATTAGGATTTAAACTTACCTAATGTGTACCTAATGTGCTTCTGTGTGACCTCTGTGTAACTGCATGGAATATTTAGAGGTGATGCTTTATAAACTGGCTCAGGTTACAAGATAATCTACACATGTCAATTAACTCATGGAATGCTGTCATCCATGTTTACCCTTGGATATAACTTAAACAAGTACTGGGACCACACAGTGACTTTGTCCTCAGTAATAATTATTGACTGGTGTAAATTTAGATATAAGAATGTTTTGATTTTTAAGTATCAGCCCTATTAAGCCCTCCTCCACCCCAAATATAAAACAGTTGAGTCAACAATGACTGCATTTTCCTCCTGATTGGAACCAGACAGAAACCATTGAGAGATAACTCAATGCCTAGTGGCTGAATCTCAGAGAAAAGGGTTTAGTGGATGTCAAGGGAAGTAAGAGGCTTCCACGGAGGCTTCTTACTGAGGAGAGGGGATATCAGAATTGAGTTCTAAATTACCCCATCCCTTCCACTGGAAGAACAAGTTAAGCTGCCAGAGCCCACAACATAGAGATTTTGTCCCTCTGTGCCATTTCTATGCCACCTGCATGTGTATCCACATAGAGCACTTTAAACACTGGTTGCTTATAAAAGGAAAAGCAGGCTAATTTGGGATCCCGTGGACAAAGAAGAAAAAAGGAGTTTGTAAGATGTGATGGTAATGGCTGTCCTTTAGGGTAATGACTGCCTGCTATTGTGTCTGTGGGTACATAATTTTCCACATCAATATTATTTCTGGAGGAAAATTTAGCTTGAATTGAAATTTCAACTTGTCTTATTTTAGTCATTTTTTTAGACTTTGCTATAAGCTAGTTGTTTATGTCAGTTATAAGTGCTTTATTATTCATTCCATTGTGAACTTCAGATATATTGTTAATATTATGTTGTCAGTCTTTTTTTCCTCCTCCTTATTGCACTTCTACATTTATAAATACAAAGTATAGCCTTTAAAGTGCTCTCACTCTGATCCAAAAGTATTACATTAATCTGTTGCTCAATAAAGGTAAAAATGAACTACAAAAGAAAAACATGGCTCCTTGTTCTCTTCATCCTCAGTAAGTTATTATGGTTTTTTCAACATAGGCCCAGAAATTGGTTTAGGAAATAATCTGGACACCTTGCTTCTAGTTGCCCAGGAAGGGTTTGCCATTCTGAGAATTATGTCCTCACTACTGAGTACACTGTAAATGCTGCAGTTGTTTGTGAAAGAATATGTACAGAAGAAATTATCAAAAGCTTATATATTACTATTCTCATGTATCATTACTAATATTTCTAGCCTTCATTTTTTCATTATAAGTTAAAAATAATTCATACATTTACTCAACATTTATTGAGTGCTTACTACAGGGCAGACACTATGCTAACTACTGGGAATTCACAGGAGAGAGAAAGAAAGAGAGGGAGGGAGGAGAGGAAGAGGAAGAGAAAGAGAGAGAGAGAAAGAGAGAGAGAGAAGGAGAAAATTTTCTCTGTTCTGCTTGGAGCTCACAGTCTGTTCTGCCTGAAGCTCACAGACCAGCAGAGACAGACCATTAGGCAATTAATTACCATGATAGTGCATAAACTGCATATCACCATAACAACAAACTACAAATATGTGTGTTTGGATTTATCAGCCTTAACACTTCACATTTTGGGCCAGCTACTTCTTTGTTATGGGAGCTATGCTAGCCATTATGAAGCGATTAGCAGTATTCCTGGCCTCTACCTACTCTTAGCGCCATTCCCTTAAGCCCTTACAGTTGTGATAACCAAAAATGTCTCTAGTTTCCTGGTAGGTGGGGAGAAAAAATAGCTATGGGTTAAGTATAGCTGTTTTGAGGAACAAACAGAAAAAAATTGTTCTAATGTAATTGAAATTTCTTAGGATAGTACCAAGATTTTCACATTGTACTTTTCTTGAGAATATTTGACACATTTTTGCCTCTATTTGTTACTGAAATGTATGCCTTTGTGTTCTCCTGGTTTTACAAGGTAATTGTGGGTGACATTGTGAAGACCACAAATGGGCATTTCCTCCCTGCAGACATGGTCCTGATTTCTTCCAGGTTAGTTGTTAGTAGGCACTTAATGAACTTCTATTGTGTTAGAAATGTGTTGTTTCCTTTTGTCTGTGGCTTTTTTCTTACATCACTGTTCATTTTTTTTTGGTTCAGAATTTGCTTTCTCCCCTCAAGTGTAGTCCCCATAGTTCTCCTACCACCATAGCACCTGGGAACCATCACCATTAGAAATTTTAAGGAAACCAAAGGCTTTCTCCTTCTTTCACTCATTTCAGTATTCTTTTCACTATATTGTAGGCCAGTGGCAGCAAACTTTTTCTATAGAGGAACAGATAGCAATTATTTCAGCTTTGTGGCCATGTAGCCAGTATTTTAATTCTACCTTTGTAATACTGGAAGCAGCCTTGGGAAATATGTTAGCAAATGGGTACAGTTGTGCACTGTAACATTTTATTTAATAAAAAGTTAGGGGCCAGACTTGGTCCATGGGCCAGCTTCTGACTCCTATTCTATACTCTTATTATCTTTAATTTCTGTGGACATAGTTTCTCCTATTCTAACTCTTAAATGAATTCGATAGCTTCTAGAATAACTGCATTCAACTAATCTAAAACATTTTCATTTATTCCTTTGTTTTAGTCTAATGGCAATTAAAGTTTTCTTATTCTACAGGGAAACTAACTCAAAGATTGGTGATTTTTTTTTTCAGTGTTATTGACTTTGTGTTATGCCCAAATTTAAAAAAAAATAGGCACTTACTTTTATGGAATTATGCAGCTTTATTCACCCACTGCTTAGGAGGAAACTTACACAGAGGCTCCCTAGAAGAGATGTTTCTTTGCAAAGAGGTCACACACAACCTCCACTTAGGTTTCTATGCTAGTCTCTCTGGGGAGCGCAACTGTCCCCTTCCTCATGTTTTTCTGTGAGACAGACACCATTATGGAGTATAGTGGGTAGAATGACCATTCTAATGAACACAGCTTCATTTGCATGTACAGCAGACCTGCTTCCTAGGTCAAGTCATGATTATCTCAAAAGGGTCAAAAAATGTTCTGACTTACAGACACACATTACTTTGGAGCATGTAGCAATTTCTTAGAGAGACATGAATGAGCTAATCTCCAAGCTTTTGCAAAATTGCTGACACTAGTTCCTTTTTTTTAAAACTTAAGAATATGTTAAAATAGTGACACATCATTTTATTAAATCATTCCTGAAATTTTATCACAAAGGATACATATGGTTGTCTCTGTATTAAGTATATATCCAAATTCACTAAGCTTGGTCTTTTATTTAATGCTTCACTAGCTTTTGCTTGTTATTTTAATGGCTTGAATATAGATTAAACTTTGATAAAACAGTACATTAGATAAAGGTTTTAAGTCTGTTGAGGCCATTGAAATGTAACAGGAAAAGAATATTATTGATGGCTACTGGAGTCATCTTCAGTCTCATCGTTGGTTTTCTTGCAAGGTTAAGGAGAACCATCATCTTTCTGATGACCAACATTTCTTCAGGTGCAAATAACTGTAAAATCATTTTTTTTCTAGTTTCTCCATAGAGAATTGGGGGATAAGGTAGCTATGACATCACTTTCAAAGAACCCAAACAGCAGCCCTCAGTTTCCCACACCATCCAGACCTCTTATTTCTTTTATTTGTTTATTTTTATTAATGAAGGACCATTGCTTTACATCTTTGTTAGTATTCTGACAACACAGGCGTCCTCCCCTATAGATGTGGTCATCGTGTCTCCCACCCTCAAAGCACCTACAGTCCTCCACCATAGTCTGTTGTGCTTACAATCTCCCTGCTCACCCCTCTCCGGGTCCCCTCTTGGATGCTTCAGATCTATGGGATTGGTTTTACAGTTTGGCTTTGTTTGACCCTATGATTGGATTCTCTATATTCCACATAAAAGTGACACCATCTGTTATATATCTTTTTCCTTCTCAATTATTTCATTTGGCATAATCCCTTCTAGTTACATCTACGTTGCTGCAAAGGGCCTGTATTTATCTTTCTTGATTGCTGAGTAGTGTTCCATTGTCTACAGATGGCATATCTTCTTGATCCACTCATCTGCTTTTGGTAGGCCTCTTATTTCTAAATGCCTCCCTGTAGCACTAGATATAATTACATTATTTCTTTGGCAAACCTGTATTAAGTTGAAGGCACTGGAAATTGTGTACCTTCTCATTGTAGAGTCTGACAGCTGGGCTGTAGACAAATTCAAAACCCACTCTTCATCAATTCCACTAGGGCATGTTTTGAAGTAAGAAGATGGTTTTTCTGTTACTAGTTAAATAGATTTAAGTGTACATCTAAGTGCATGCAAGCAACATGAAAACTTTTTCTATCTTTTGAAAAGCTGTTACAGGGCCCTTCCTGGTAGTGCAGCTGGTTAAAGCACAGCATTATGAAACTATCCAAAGCCACTGAAGCACGAGTTTGATTCCCTGTCAGGAGCTGACCCACATGGCACGGCAGACCTCTGTTGTCTTGCTTGCTACTCCCCTCAGCAGTGTATTTCATTAATCAGCCTGCTCTGCTCCCCACTCTATCTCTGGTGAATTCTCTCACCCCAGTACCTCTGGCCTGTACCCCAGTTCTGTATGCATAAATAAATAAATCTTAAAAAAAAAAATCCAAACCTGTGACAGCATCATATCATCAGACCCTTGAAGAAGTTGCTCTCAAAACATTGAGTAAGATGTATCTAAAAACAATAGTCATCAGTCTGTAATTTTACAATTTTAGTTTGTCTCGATTTTTCCTTACAATTGGCAAACTTAAGAGTTTTCAACTGGTTTTTCAACTTCCTATGTCTTTTCCATAAATTGAACAAAATGACGATGGCAACAAATGAACAGCCAACGTTAACAGTGTTCTCACCAGCTTGCTAATCGCCTTGATGCTCCAAATCTGCACACAGGACTATTCTCCATGATGTAATTTTAAATATTGGTGACATCTGCTTGTGCTTTGGGTTGACATATGTGCACCTTTCTTTTTCTCCAATAGGTGGCGCCATGACTTCAGTTTTAGGTTTTTCCTTCCACTCTCCCGTCTTTGGTCGAAAGTGTGTAACCAGGAAATGATTATGTGTCATGGTTATGCGGTGGGAGGAAGGATAAATTTTTTTTTTAAAGTGTATGAATGAGATTTTTATATATTTTGGAAATTAACTTCTTGTCGATGTGTGATGTGTAAAATCTCCCTTTCTTTTTTGTGGTGGTTTCTTTGATGTGCAAAACCATTGAAGTAGGAATCCCACTTGTCCATTTTTGGTTTCGTTTTCCTTGCCATTGTGGTTGCGTCCTCCTGAAACTGGAAGTTCCCCAAGTCTGCTGCTTGGGGGAGTCTGTTGCTTGGACTCTGCTGCTTACCTGAGTTCCTGCTGTGTGCTGCTTGCAGCTACAGTTACCTTGACCACCTTCCCAAACAATAAAGAATGCTTATGCTATGATAGACAGAGTAACAACTTTCCTCATACGAACTCTATAATACGAACTGTAAAAAACTTTACTATTTCTGTAACGAGGGCTCAGACTTTGGGAGCGATCCCACTGAGCCTGCAATGTGACAATTAAATCTCTCTCTCTCTCTCCACCTCTCTGGGTGCCATCGAATTTCTTTGGGAAATTGCTATAACACCCCAATACATTTCTGATGATCTGGAGTGTGTGAATTACGTCTCCTTTCATGAATTGGTATTTTATAGTTTCAAGTCTTATATAGAGATCTTTTATCCATTTTCACTTTAATGTTGGTGGCTGGAGTAAGGATGGATCTCTTTTCCT